CAGCAGGGGCTACTAGCCCTGCAGTTTTGACCCCACTGTGGTTTAACACATACACGTGACATGAGTTTTGCTCTCAAGAATTTGGGATGCAGTTTCTCCAAACTCCCTGCACCTATCTTCTTGAAACTTAGCATGCTTCATGCCCTCAGAAGGGGCTACCATTTCTGCAGGTTTCATCTAAATCTGGCCAGAAATGACACATTTATAGCCTGTTTTGTCCTTCCCTGTTATATCCTATGGGCGAAACATAGAAACAGAGCTGAAACGGCAAAACGCTTTGATGGAACAAAATGGAACAGCCATTTTGACTTGAAACAAAAGTTGAAATGAAACACTGTTCTGTCAAAATGTTGAAACACTGGTCGAAACAGGACGCTTCCATTTCGCACAGCCCTATTATAAACCTGATTTTCCTAACCTTCATATGAACGCCTTAGCTCTTATGGGACAAACTCATGTCTGTGGAAACTCTACTTCCTATATTATGATGCTACTCTTGGAATAAAGCTGGTCCTGGGAGCCTGAACCCTATTTTTTTCCCTAAAGCCTAAAAAGATCCTTGTGTTTCCACAAGTCTGGGCTTCTCTACCTGTGGGTCACAACTCCAACTGCTGTCAAGTGATCACAGTCACCCTGCATTTTCTATTTTGCCAAATTGTAGAGCTCCCAAGATGGGTGGGTCCCAGTAGAGGATGAACTATCACAGAATCATAGAAAGTTAGGGTTGGAAGGGACCTCAGGAGGTCAAATCTAGTCCAACCCCCTGCTGAAAGCAGGACCAGCCCTGACGAGATCATCCCAGCCAAAGCTCTGTCTAGCCAGGTTTTGAAAATCTTCAAGGATGGAGCTTCCACCACCTCTCTGGGTAACCTGTTCCTGTGCTTTACTACCCTCCTCATGGGAAATTTTTTCTTAATATCTAACCTAAACTTCCCTTGCTGCAACTTGAGATCATTGCTCCATGTTCTGTCATCTGCCACCACTGAGAACAGTCCAGCTCCATCCTCTTTCGAGCTCCCCTTCGGGTAGTTGAAGGCTGCTATTGAATCCTCCCTTGGTCGTCTCCTCTCTAGACTACATAAGCCCAGTTCCCTCAGTCTTTCCTCATAAGTCACGTCCCCCAACCCCCTCACCATTTTTGTCACCCTCTGCTGGACTCTCTCCAATTTCCCCACATCTTTTCTGTAGTGGGGGCCCAAAACTGGACACATTACTCCAGATGTGGCCTTACCAGTGCTGAATAGAGGGGAATAATCACTTCCCTTGACCTACTGGCAACACACCTACCAATGCAGTCCAGCGTGCCATTTGCCTTCTTGACAGTAAGAGCACACTGTTGGCTCATATTCAGCTTAAGTACCTCAAGGTATTTGCCATAATATGAATCCCTCCTCTCCCTTAGTTAATTCGTCTTTGCTCTAAAATAACAGTGCCCAATGCCTGGAGTCTCTTCCCAGACACATGTTAGGAGGGGCTGATCCAATGCTGAATTGCACTGAGAAATTTAGTGCAGCATTGCTCCCTACAGGTTGCCACTTCTTTTATTCTGCCCAAAGGAATACCACTGAAATCCTGTGTGCCTTGCTGCTGATCTGCTTCGTGATCTTCACAGCTGTCATTATAGCAAACCAAGGAAAAAGTAAGTCTCATACTTTTCTATTTCAGCCTCAGATCTTACTTGCCAACTTAGACACCAAAAGGATTATTTAAGGATGAATTTTTGTGTTGGGATAGGAAAAAAAAGTCCTAGGGGGTTTTGATTGGAAGCTCAGTTGCAACTGTAATTATGAAGTAGCTGCCATGGATTTCATAAATAGATGGGATTTTTTTAAAGCATCTAAGTACTTTAGAAACAAAACTCCCATTGGCCTTCCACAACACTTTTGCTCCTAAGGTCAGTTAGAATCATAGAAAGTTAGGGTTGGAAAGGACCTCAGGGGGGTCATCTAGTCCAACCCCCTGCTCAAAGCAGGACCAGCCCCAGCTATCTCATCCCAGCCAAGGCTTTGTCTTGCCAGGGCTTGTAGACCTCCAAGGAGGTCCACAGCCTCTCTGTGTTCTAATTTTTTATTACCCTCCTAGTGAGAGAGTTTTTCCTAATATCTATCCTAAACTTCCCTTGCTGCATCTGAGACCATTGCTCCTTGTTCTGTTATCAGTCTAACATAGCACTTTGGAAACCCCCTTCTAAAAAAAAAAAAAAAAAAAATCAGTAATTTTGACATACTTGGGGCAATGGATTTTATGGTAGTGAATTATTCCAACAAAGGGTCCCTTTTTATAAACTGTATTCTACAGCAAGTGAAACTCCAGTTTAATGGCTTATCAAGGACCCTGCAATGTATGGGGACTATATAGTAGTGGGTCACTGTACAGTATGTCATGAGCACAGAGAACATCAATTCTATCATGGGGCTCACAGTCAGATCCTTCTGTTCCAAAAGCATACATGAGGCCCGCAGAGCAACAACAGAGGTTGGTGCTGCAGTTAATACACTAGGCTGCAAACTTTAATCTCCCAATTTTGCTGCTTACTTTCTGTGGAAAGAGCTGCATCACTTCTCTAGTGATACCTTAGATTTACCATCTGTAAAATGGGACTCCTTTCTTAGATTCATAGATTATAAGTGGCTGGAAGGGACCTTGCAAGTTCATCGGGTCCAGCCCCCCTGCACCAAGCAGGAAAGACACCTGGGGTCAGGTGATCCCAGTGAGGTGACCATCCAGTCTCCTCTTGGAGATTTCCAGGGTGGGTGCTCTCTTGCTTGGGAGATGGTAGTCGAGCTGCTGTTGTGCGTTGGGATGAGATAATCCCTCCTTCTTTGACTGCTTGTAATGGCAGCAGTTTCTGTATCTGGCTATCTACAGCATCCAGGGAGCTGTCCGATGTGAGGCTGAAGATTGAGAAAATCCCAGTGAATTCCACAAAAGATCTGTCAGACTTTCTGTACTCAATAGGTGAGAAACATCTTTGCCCTCCCAACACCTGATTGCTGCCATTTCCTTGTTGAAACTCTGGGTATAGCCATTGTATCTTAGGGTCTCAACCTAGAAGGATGCCAGACATGATAAATGTGGAGAGCGGGGCATCCACAGGACTCAAGTATCCAGTGCAGGCATGCAGGTTGTGGGGGTGTCAAAAAGTTAACCTCCCCTTTTTCTCATCTCCCTTTCAGGGATGTCCAAAGAATTGAAGACAATCAACAGTCAGCTTCTTCATGGTATGTTCTTTACTCATCTCTTAAGAGGTCCAGGGATAAGCAGAGCCTATAATATTGCTAATAGAGACCTGCAAAATCACAGCTCAGGCCAGTGGGTGTTAGAAGAAACCAGAAGTTAGCTTCACTTTATTCACATTCTCATTTTGTTAGACTCAAATACCTCATCAGGCTGCGTTTTAAGTTTCTCTCAGGAACCAGGAGGGGGTAGCAATTTGCCTTTTAACAAAATCTGAATTTCCCCCTAAACCATCAATGGCACATGCCCCTGGTGGCTGGGGGGGGGGCACGGCTGCACTGGCAGTGGTGGGAGCCTGGTGGTGGTGAGCGGGGAGCTCCCGCAGATGCTGCCCGCACTGTTGGCAGCGGGGGGTGGCGAGTGCTGACCATGGGTCGGCGACCACCTGCAGGCAGGGCGAGTGCTGACCAAGGGTCGGCGACCACCTGCAGGCACCGCTGGCAATGTCAGCAGCAGCCAGGGGCGATCATGGACTGCTTGCAGATGCTGCCAACAGTGCTGGCAGTGGGGTGGCAAGCAGTGACCTCCTGCAGGTGCTGCCAATGGTGTTGGCAGTGCCTGTTTGCAGGGGGTGCACCACCACACACAGGGGGTGCACATGCACATGCACCCGCGTGCACCCCCTACGCATTGCCCCTGCCCTAAACAAAAAAAGCCAAGGATTTAAGTCTGAGAAAACACATCAAGTATCAGAGACCTGAGATAAAACAGATGGAATTAACAATGTAGGCCCTGTGACCTCAGGTGGGGAAATCTTATGACATTCCCACACATAGTAATGCTCTTTTTCCCCTGTCATTTGCAGTATCTAAGGAAGTGGACAACACAAAGTTGAAACTAAGAGAAATCCAAGCAGATTCTAAGAAAGATCTTCAGAACTACACAGGTGAAATATGTCTTCCCCTGACAATACCTACTTACTGCTACTTCCTTTGAGAAAGAATCCACAAAATGACCTTCTTGTCCCAGGGCCTGATTGCAGCACAGGACGGATTAGTGTGATAAGAGACTGAGGGAGTTGTGAGAGTTAGGGCAGCAAGCCCTAGCTCGATGATCCCATTTTATAATCAGTTGAATTTTGCTCCCACCGAGTTCTTCCTTGCTGAGTGGTTCACCTCTGCAGTAGGCATTTGGATCTTAGACTCCAATCCAACAAAGGCACTTATATATGTGTAATCACGCATTATAGAGCCTGCTTTGTGCTCATCCCCAGACAGCGTGAGTGAGTCGCAGGCCAAACTAGAGAATTTGAGCTCATTTTAGCAATCTTTGCTTTTAGCTCTAGAGGATACCAGTTCAGTCCCAACTGCGGTGGCTGAGATGATATTTCTTATGTAATACTTCCATTCCCCATTACTGCACGTGATGACATCTATGTTTGGGTGCTTGACTGAGTTTTAGATAGGCAGAGGGGTCAGGCCTGGTCAGTGCAAGTATGAACCAGACTATGACCCTGACTGGGCTGGCATAAATCCAACATGAAAACATAAGATGGTAATGTCCTTACTTCAGATTTGCATCTTCAAAGGGAGCTCTCAAAGGGCAGAAGCAGCATGTCAACAAGCTGGCTGTGGGGGTGTTAGGGTGAAACTTCACTCCCAGAATATGGTGGGTGTAGGAAGCTCCATAAGTCAAAGCAATTAGTAAATACTGGGAGCATCTACACATTAATTAATGCACTGTAGTTACTGTGCATAAAGTTAAGTATTTGTATAACCAAGTACTGAATCAATGTGCAGTAACTGGCACTACTGTGCGGTAGTGCTGGCATATGACTTTTTAGTGACACAAACTGCTCAGTAGCCTAACACTACTGTGCATTAGCATATTAGCATGGTTTTTGCCCTGCATGCTAATGCACAGCAGAATTAGGCTATTGCGTGGTTAGCGTTTCATGTAGATGCGCCCACTGTGACCTATCTGTGTAAGAGGATGAATGAATAGAACAGGGTGGATAAGACAGATTGGACAAAGGATAGTTGGAAAGACAGAAGGAAGTGGGAAAGAGAGAGACAAAATTATTATCAGAGTGCATTGGCTACAAACTAGAGAAGGAATAGAAAATGCCAGTCTTTCCATTTTGGTGACATCTTTCTACCTTCTGCTTTCCCTTATAGATATAAAGAGCCTCACACATTCTATGTTCAGGGAACTGACTGAGGAGCTGACTGAGGTGAAAAGAGCCTGTAACGGGTTTCAAAATATCTTGAGCAGCATACAGAAGGAAATACGGAATCTGTCTGGTGAGGGTTACAGGGCAGGGCTGTGATATCTGGAACGGTTTTAACCTCAAAATAGTCAGTGAAAGCTATTTCATGACATTTTCACACTCCCAAAAGGCCCTATGGCCTGCTCTACTCCTCCTACAATCAAATTGATCACATACCCCCAATTTAGGAGTGTCCAGTAGGTGCAAAATATTACACTGCTAATAATGGCAGTCCAAAGTGCTTTAGTTACTTGATACATATTAGCGAGGCACAATATACTGTGATGGCATGAGTCACTAGGGGTCATCGTTGTACATCATCTTTACAAATTCTTTTTCTTAGCCCATGAGCAATATTTAGCCTCTGAAGACATATCGGGTTGTTTTTAGTTTTGTGATGTAATTTACTGATGCTTGCCCAAATCTACCAGCCAGTTCTCAGGATAGAGTTGTTCCCTGAAAACTCAGGACTGATGTTTGGCCTGAGATCTCAGACTGGAACCTCTGTTGTTTGTGACCACATTCATCTGCCCCCAGGGCTGGTGTTAAGATTTATAGATAAATAAGTTATATTAAAGAAAATATTATAATCCCTGATTTTTCTTTCCAAAAGGAAACCAACCTGCCACTGCTTGGCAGATGGCAGTAGTATCATGTGCTTTCTGTAACTGAGAAATAATCACCACTAAAGTCAGAATAGGCATACCAAGCAATCTGGTGCACTCTTCAACAGAAGATAGGGAAGTGTGAGGGGTAGGAAAACTTCATTAACAAATTCACAAAAATGTGCCCAAACCATGTAAGTTCTATAATTTCTTTAGGGGATGTACGTTGTAGCCGTGTTGGTCTAAGGACATAGGCAGACAAGGGTCTTTGGGTAAATCTGATCTATTTTATTAAGCCAACTCAAATAGTTGGAAAAAATCTTCTCAGCAAGCTTTCCGGTACAAATACCCTTCCTCAGCCTGACAAAGGGTATTTGCACCCAAAAGCTTGCTAAGATTTTTTCCAACTATTTGAGTTGATCTAGTAAACCATATCAGATTTACCCAAAGAACCTTGTCTGCCTATAATTTCTTTAGTACATCAGCAGCTAGTACAAAGAAACAGAATTCAATTTCAATTAATAAAGTATGCATTGCAAATCACTTGAAATGAGAATCTCTGAAGTTAATAAGAAGCATGGGGAAAACACATGAGATTTTTACATTTCAATCAGGCTGGATTTAGTCTCTCAAATGTAAGACTTCCATAACCTGTCATCTCATAGATGCCATATGTACAAGATGTCCACAAGGCTGGCTACCTTTTCAGAAAACCTGCTACTACTTTTCAAACTCAACTAAATCCTGGACCAATGCTAAGGAGTTCTGTATTGATCAAGGATCCCACCTGGTTATTGTTAATACTGAACATGAAAATGTAAGTCATCTGTTCAGTTTCCTATTGTAAATCCTGAGAATTAAGCCCTTTTTCAAGGAGGGCTTACTTTCTATGCTTTCCTTAGTACAAGGTACGAGTGTACATGTGGGCAGTTACCAAGCGGTTGATAGACAGCAAAGTTCCACCTTACTTTACTCTGCACCAAGTTGTTCTTATGTCCATTTATTCCAGTGCAGCAGACATTGGGATCTGGCCCAAGCAGCCTAGGATGAGTGACACATTTTGATGCCTCAGGAAATTCAAGATGGATTGGGAGGAACTGCAGAGTCATCTGAAAAATGTTGAATGAGCTATATCAGTGTCCAACATGAGGGAGGATACAAATGCAACTTAAAGATTTTGAGGGGTTCTATAACTAATAACATTTGAATGTTACCAACTTGGGCAAGATTTACACTGCTAAGCAGAAGATAAAAGTCTCTTTACTATCTCAGCCTTGCATTAGGAAAGGCCTTGTATATGAGCAAGGTGAGATTCCACTCCAGATTCCTGACCAAGACTTTCATAGTTTCATAGTTATTAGGGGCTGGAAGGGACCTTACAGATCATCAGATCCAGCTCCCCTGCACTAGGGCAGGAAAGACTGCTGGGATCAACAACCAAAATCATTGCTGCCTCCAGGAGAATCCATGACTAGTTTTAAACTAGGCCTGGGAGAGCAGGTGCAGGTTGTATGCATGGACAGGGCAGAGGTGGCTAGTTACTAGTGTACAGCTATAGACACTCTACTGAATTCAATAGAGTTACTCCTGATTTACATCCTTAGAACTGAGACTAGAATCATATCTTGATACCTGGATTTTAAGTGCTCCCAGGAACCTGAAATAAGATAGTACATGAGGAGTTTTGTGAAAGAAGGTAAGAGGATTCCTTCGAGCTCCCAGAAATCGGGATATTCCTGCCAAGGGATTTAAAGGCCCCCTAGAGCTGACACTAGATCACTGCAGGAGAACTGAAAATAATCTAAAATTGTCAGAGAATAGCAATGCGGTATCCAGTCGGATTACTAGAAACTACTGTTCTCCATAATGTTGTAGCACCTGTAAGCCTCAATCAAGACCCTATTGTTCTAGGCCAGGGTTGGGCCAAATCTGGCCCATGGAGGGGCTTGTCCGGCCTGCGGCAAGTCCCTTGGTCCTACCTGACCCAGGAGCTATCCAGCCCATGGTGCATCTCATCACCCCCTGGTATGCAACAGGGCTGAGGCAGCTCCACAGCTGGACTCCATTTCTAGGCAGCCCAGGAAGCAGTGGCTCCTCCTAGCTGCCACCACTGCTGGCCCTGGCCCCATGGAGACTGGCAGGGATCCATGTAAGGACCCCTGGCCCAGTCAGCCCTGCACCCACTCCAGACCCGCCCTGACCAGAGTGGACCAGCTCCAGACCAGCTGGGACCTGCGTACACAGCCTCGGCCTCACACCACCCCGTGCTCAATCTGGACCCACCCATCTATGATCAGCAGCGGTGGTAGTGGCAGCAGCAGCGGCCAGGCAGAAGCTGCTGCTGACCGTGGGGGAAAAGCAGCTACTTCCCCCTCACCACTGCCAGGCCCTTCTTGCTTCAGCTACCCAGAGCCTGCACCCAGGCTGTCCTGTGGCTTCTTTCCACTGCCATCACCACTGCCACTAATGCCACCTCTGGGCCACCCAGTGGGGCAGCAGTGGCAGTGAAGAGGAGCCACAGAGTAGCCTGAGTGCAGGCTCCAGGTGGCTGCAGCAAGAAGGGCCTGGCAACAGCAAAGGGGAAGTGGCTGCTTTTCCCTTGTGCCCAGCAGCAGCTTCTGCTCACCTGCTGCTGCTCATCGTGGGCAGGCCAGTCTGGAGCAGGCACATGGCAGGCAGGGGTCAGGACTGTGCACGTGGGTCCTGGCTGGTCCAGAGCTGGTTCACTCTGGCTGGGGCGAGTCCAGAACATGTGCAGGGCAGGCCAGGGCCGGGACCATGTACTCAGCTGCTGCTGGGTGCTGGTGGTGGTGAGGAGCCGCAGGGTGCACAGGCTTCACACTGTTGCAGGGGAAGGGGTGCTGACCAGCCCACAACAGCTCCCCAAAACTGGCTATGTGGCCCGCAGGCCCAATAATTGTCGACCCCTGTTCTAGGCACCATACCTGCACACACATCACAAAAGGCAGTCACATCCACTTATAAAACAGAGTTTGCTTTCTTTTCAGATGGGGATCTTTGCAGTGAAGAGCTGGGATTAGGCATTTAAAGTAGATCTGGTCTGAAATGGGTTTTTCCCTGAGGGAAGCTTAGATTCTCCAGTAATATCCAAATACTAAATATTTTCAAAAAAGCTGCTGCAGTGCATTGTGGGAACTGTAGCTGGACACAGTGTCCCCCTCCTCTCTTCAAGTTGGGCTGATCAAGTTATACCTCCCATGATGTATAACAGTCTTATCTCTTGGAGAAAGGAAGTAGTGCATCGCAGGTGTCACTAGCCAAGGAGCATCATGGGATATACAATCTCAACAACCCTAACTAGGAAGGGTTGGAAGCTCAAACTATTGGCCACAAACACAAGTTACACTTCCTGCCCACCTGTTTCTTGCATCTTGATTATCTTCTTAACTTGTTTCCTCCCTGTAGAGCTTTCTGTCCAACTACATTCTTGACTCCCGTGCTTATTGGCTGGGCCTAACTGACACAGAGAAGGAAGGAGACTGGCGGTGGTTGGATGGCACCTCCCTTTCTCTCCGGTAAGTCTGTTGTCATTCACTTTCTGTGGACAGTAAGCAGTTCCACAGAATTAGGCGATTCTTACTTTTTCCTCCTGTTGAAAGACATTGAGAGACAGAGTATTTACATCAGAGTAAGTCTGTCTCCCTCTGGCCGCTGGACCTTGCAAATTCCGAGTCTTGTTTTGTCACCAAAACAATATGCACAAGGCTAACTCAGAGCAGGATTAGTTGCAGGCTGTTCCTAGGAAGCTGAAAGCTGCTTTAAATGATGTGCTCACTATCAGGTAAAGTTAAGAGTCATGGGTAGAAAGGCAAAATTTAGAGAAGGGAAGAGATAGACACATTTCTGTTACATAGAAAATTTTGGGTTTTTGAAATATGATTTCATTCTGACTTGTAAGGGAAACTGAATTTTTTTAATAACAACATGGAACTGCAGCTCTAAAGCAACTGGTTCTCTAGGATGTGAACGCTGGAAGCCTTGTATCCTCTGGCTGTGACAATGAGATCTCTGGTGTATCCTATTCAGTGGCATTTTTTGAAAGTAGAATATTCAATGGAGTTAGATTTCAACAAATCCTACAGAAAGATATAGTCAGAATTTTCCTAATCAGCTGTAGCAACATGCTCCAGTACATACCAGAACAGGACTGTGGGATTCTAACCCCATCTCTGTAATGAGAGATGGGTCTACTGATGAGAGCAAGACGCGAGGAGTAGATTCCCATGATGGGAAAGACTTGGTCCATAATGGTTAGAAATCAATTCTTGGGACTTATTTCCAGCTTTGCCATTGGGCTCTGACAGAACTTGGAGCAATTTGTCCCTCTGTGTCTCCATCAATACAATAAACTGGAAACAGATATCCTCCATCATCAGATGAGATACAGCCTGGGAAATGACTAGGCCAACATCTCCCTATCTAATGGTTAGCAGCAGTATACCCACTCTTGCCCCCAGGGACCAGCTCTAGAAACAAGTGGACAGATCACTCCGTATCCTTGCTGATCTGTTGTGCCAAGATTAGCAGGCTGGACAGTGCCCACTAGCATCTGTGATGTAAATGCCTCTCCTTTAGGTGTGGGCTCAGATCACATCACTATCTTGGAAGTTGTGTCCACACTAGGGAGATTATATGCATTTAATAATATATATTTAAAGGCACCTATGTGAATCTACATGAAGTAGCTGGTATCCAGCCCTTCACCTCAGTGTCACTGGCATCCTCCCCGCTTTTTTAAATTTCAGAGTTATGGCTGACTCTAAGGTCTCTGTCTCTTTCTCAGGTTCTGGAACACTGGGGAACCCAACAATGTTGGACAACAGGGTGAAGACTGTGGCAGCATGATCTCCCAGGGAAAGTGGAATGATGCAGTCTGCTCTGTGGCACATTATTGGATCTGTGAACAGAAACGTTAGCTGAGTCCTTAAATTCATAGAGGGGAGGAGAACAATCATATAGTGGACAAGATGAAGATGTGACATGCCCTGAGTGCTTCGTTTTGTTAATGCTTGGGTCTACTGCAAAGCATAGGGCTTATGGGACATAATTCTGAAAAGCAGATCAGTATTTTTTTTCATTTAGTCCATTTCCCCAACATGCTGTGCCCCAAAACAAAAGCATTTCCTGTGATCTGGTCTGTAGGGTCTAGCATTACATGTGGTTCACGCTCTTTCCTGGGCAAGATACAATTACTCAGGCTGGTAGATCTCAGTGGCTGCTGCTTATCCTTCCTGGCACAGGGCTGGATTCTGACCTTAGATTGCACCACTATAAATGCAGAGATTGACCTGATTTCAGTGGAGTCATTCTTTACTAGTGGGGAAAGACTGAAATTAGGCCCTTCTGACTAAAGTGTCCTTTTATAAATATCACCCAGCAGTTCTGGCAGGAGGAAAAATGCTTGTTTGTAAGGCACAGGGCTGGGACAGAGGGGATCTGGATTTTGCCTTTGACCATCTTGTACCTTACAACGTAAGCTCCTGGTGGCAGGCGCTTTTCTCATTCTTTCTCTCTCTCTCTCTCTCTCTCTCTCTCTCTCTCTCCAGTACCGAGCACAGCAGGGCCCCAAATGCCAATGGGGCCTCCAGCAGCTACTATTGCATCTTTATTTCCGAGATCACAGATATCCGTCTTTCAGGTGCTTACATTCCTGGGTTTTAAAGATTCAAAGTCCATTTCTATTCATTGACTTCTCCTTTCTCAGCAACGGTACAATAATTCTCACCATATTTATTCACTTGCCTTATTGTGTACTCTGCCCTCCTCTTTAACAACCTGTTCCCAGCAGCTTGAGGCATTTCTTTGATGTTCATTATTCAGACTATGAAACTTTATGTTCATTAGAGTTCCTACATACCATCAAGTGCATTGGGAATAGCACAGTCCCACCTGATGCAATGTGCTGATTTTAAGTAAATCTTATAAAAGGCAAGAGGCAAGTAGGCATTTGGGGAACTCAAAACCCAGAAATAGAAGGACCAGGGGCTGCAGTTATAAAGGATCTTGCTCTAAATAGAAAGTATGCAGAGTCAGGCCACTTGGAGAATGGGAAGTACAGTCAAAGACATTAATTCTTCCAAAAAGTGACTGTAACGGCAGGGTCCTCCAGGAGGGCCGTGATCTCCTTGAGGCCCCCTCTCCGTGCCAGGTCGGCCCAAGGGCACCCTCAGATTCTCACCCACCACGTCTTTGATGTTTAGGTAAAGTTGGGAGGCTGCCTCACGTCTCCTTGGGCACGGTTAGTTGGGACCTCTGTCCCCGTATTTTCCCGGACCCACCGGGGGTCTCCCTATACACTGGGTGCTTCCCAGGCACCCTAGCCTTATGGGCTACACGTGGCTCCAACCACCCCTGATACCACGCCCCAAGCCTCGCAGATGGGATAGACGTTGTTCTGTCTCTCTGTACGTACACTGCCCGTCTCTCAGGCCTCCTCTATGCACTTGCCCACTCTCTGGGGCCTCCTCTGTTGTGCTGCCCCCTCTTGGGCTCTCTGAGCCCACTCAGGGCCTCCCTGTAATAGTTTCATAGTTTTAGGGTCGGAAGGAACCTAATAGATCTTCCAGCCCGACCCCCCGCCAGGGCGGGAGAACAACAAAAAACCCTAAAAACAAAAACGGGACTCAAATGAGTCCAGTCAGGTAGGCATCCAGCCTCTTCTTAAAGACCCCCAGGGTAGGGGCCAGCACCACCTCCCTTGGAAGTTGGTTCCAGCTCCTAGCCGCCCTAACTGTGAAGTAGTTTTTTCGGATGTCCAATCTGTACCTCCTCTCCATCAACTTGTGCCCATTACTCCTTGTTATGCCAGCAGGGGCTAGGGGAAACAGCGTCTCCCCCAAACCCTTCTGGTTCCCCCTAGTGAGTTTATAGACGGTCACCAGGTCCCCCCTCAGCCTTCTCTTGTGGAGGCTGAATAGGTTCAAGTCCCGCAGTCTCTCACTGTAGGGTCTGCCCTGTTGTCCCCGGATCATGCGGGTGGCCCTCCTCTGGACCCTCTCCATGTTGTCCACATCCCTCCTGAAATGGGGCGCACAGAACTGGACACAATACTCCAGCTGCGGCCTGACCAGCATCGCATAGAGGGGGAGGAACACCTCCCTGGCTCTACTCGAGATGCACCTGTGGATGCACGACAAGGTCCGGTTAGCCCTGCCAACCATGACCTCGCATTGTCGGCCCATGTTCATCTTGGAGTCAATAATGACACCAAGATCCCTTTCCGCCTCCGTGCTCTCAAGTAGGGAGTTCCCCATCGTATAAGTGTGCTGCTGGTTCCTACTACCCAAGTGCAGCACCCTGCACTTGTCCGTATTGAAACACATCCTGTTCCTGTTTGCCCACCCCTGTAACCTATCCAGATCCTTCTGCAATCTCTCTCTCCCTGCTAGCGTGCTCACCTCCCCCCAAATTTTGGTGTCATCAGCGAATTTAAACAGGTTGCTCTCCACCCCAACATCAAGATCGCTGATGAAGACATTGAACAGCGCAGGGCCCAGGACCGAGCCCTGAGGGACTCCACTACCCACCTCCCCCCAAGTCGAATATGATCCATCCACCACCACCCTCTGAGTGCGACCCTTCAGCCAATCTGCAATCCATCTGACTGTGTAGGCATCTATGCCACAGTCGCCTAGTTTATTAATTAGGATGGGGTGAGAGACGGTGTGAAAGGCCTCGCTGAAGTCCAGAAAGACTACATCCACCGCGACACCTGCATCCATGGCCTTTGTGACCTGATCATAAAAGGCAATCAGGTTGGTCTGACATGATCTCCCCCTAATAAATCCATGCTGATTGCCCCTGAGCATCATCTCGGATGCCGGCCCATCACAAATGTGCTCCTTGATGATCTTCTCAAAGAGCTTCCCCAGGATTGAGGTAAGACTGACGGGCCTATAATTGCCCGGGTCCTCCCTTTTCCCTTTTTTGAAGATGGGGACCACATTAGCTACCTTCCAATCGTCTGGCACCTGGCCCAAGCACCACGATCGCTCGTAGAGCCGTGCCAGGGGCCCTGCAATAACCCCAGCCAGCTCCCTCAGCACCCTGGGGTGGAGAGCATCCGGACCCGCTGACTTGAACGCGTCCAGCCCCTCCAGAAGCTCTCTAACCCGGTCCTCCCCAACCTGAGGTCTGAAGGCGATCCCCTCGCGTCCGGCTTCTATCACAGCAGGCCTGTCTGGGGCTCTCTGCACCCACGCTTAGGCTTCCCAACGTTGCTCCCTTCCTGGGGCCTTCCGCATCCACTCTGGGGACTTCTCGGCTATGCCCCCCGACTCTCAGGCCCACCACACCGCTACCCCCTTCTCCCAGGGCTCACCGGACCACTACCCCCTCTCTCCAGGGTTCACTGCTGCACTCCACCCTTCTCCGGGGTTTGCTGCAGCGCTAAGCCCTTCTTCAGAGGCTCACCGCGCCCGCACTGGGCTGCTCAGTGGTTCCCTTTCTCTGGAGCTCACTGTGCCCACGCTGGGCTTCCTAATAATACCACCCCCTCTCCGGGGCTTGCTGTGCCCACACTGGGCTTCCTAATAATACTGCACCCTCACTGGCGCTAGGGCCCCACACCCCTGTGGGTCCCTACGAGGGCTCCTCCAACCCCTAATAGCCTCGCCCAAACCACCGGTGTAATAAACAAAACAAAACACAAGCCCCTAGGCTGCAACGTAACTATAAGCCACCTGGCTACAACCACATTGCTCCAACATCTTGGAGCTGCCTTCTGTTATCTGGCTCAAGCAGTACCTACGGTTGCTTCTCACATCCCTACTCCAGGAGCTCCTGCCTCTCCAGCTGCTGGCAGGGAACTGCCAGCCTGGCCTCAGCCCTGGGCTTTATGAGGGCCAGGCCCTGCCCCTTCTGGTCAGCTGATTTCCTGGTTGCCCCGGGCAACTCACAGCTGACCTGGTTAT